GCGCTAGCCCCCGAGGGGCTACAGGCTCTGGACGGAGGTGCCACCGCAGCGACACGAGAGGAAAGAGGAGTGCAAGACAGCAGAGAATCGTATTTCTTGCAGCTAGTCCTTACACAAGGCTCAGGCTTGCTGAGGGCTGGATGGGGGCGTACTCCTCCCCGCTCCCAGCAGAGCTCAGAAGCATCAAGTTTTAGAAACTGCTGCTTTTCAGCCCAGTTTTCAGGCTGGGCAGCCTGAGGGCCGGAGGAGCAGGCTGGCTCTGAGGCCACGAGCACGGGGGCTGGCCGGAAGGCCAGTCGCTGCAGTCCAACGCCTTCCCCGGAGACTAGAACTCGGTCATCTTCTTGTGCGTGTCTGCCTTCTTCTGCTCCCGCTGCAGGCTGGCTTCCTGGGCCTGCTGTTTGTGGGCGTTCGCCAGCTTCTCCTCCAGCTGAGCTGCAGCCACGCTGTGCCTGAAAAGCAAAAGAGCATCACAGCAGTGTCACCCTGCACGAGAAGATCAAAGGCTGGTCGTCATCCCAGGAGGGTTTGCCTTTTCCTGGGGGATTAGTGCAAGGGACCTGCTGAAAGCCAGCAAGAGCCTGATGCTCGGCACAACCTGGGCTAGAAAACGTCCTCCCGTGATGCTCCGCAGCAGGGCTGCGGAGAAGGACCCTGGCACCTTTCCTCAGAGAGCTCCCCTCTTCGTCACAGCCCGAATCCCAGCCAAAGGCCCCCCAGACACATCTGCCGGCGTCCAAGCTGGGCTGAAGCACACGCCAAAGCCCCTCTCCTCCCCCACCTCCCCCGAGGTCTCATCCAGACACCTTCCACTTGTTCCTCCCATACCTCACTTCAAGCCCACCCCTTCCCAGAAGCGCCAAGAACTCTCCGTTCATCCCGCCGTCCCAAAGAAAACGTTTTCCTACCGCCCCACGTTGCGCGCCAGGGCCTGCTGGATGCCCCTGATGTCCTTCTGCGTTTGCTCGATCTTCTCCATCGTCTGGAAGAGGCGGACGCTCAGGGCCTTCTTGGTGCTCTTGCTGGCGTGGTAGATCTCTTTGCTGTTCCTCTCGGGCAGCGCCACCCCTCCAGCCTTCTCCCCAGCGCTCTTCCCTCGCAGTTTCTCATTCAGGAAGTCAAACACGTTGCGGGGAGGCTGCCGGCCGCCCGCCGGGGACTGTCCGGAGCGGTTTCCCTTCGCTCGGCACTCCTGGCTCCAGCTTCCCCTGCTGCTTCCTCTGAAGCACCTCAGCACACTGGTCGAGGGACTTCCCTCGGGGAAGGACCACAGCCTGCACCGGCTCCACTCGGCCCTCAGAATTCTTCCCTAACCCTGAGGAGAGAGACCCCAAGGGATCACCGCAAGCGAGGACAGCCCCTCTCGGGCCACCTCCTGCCACAAGCTCACGGTGACAAGTCGCCAAGCTCGGCACGAGCCAACAGGCTCCTGAGGTACGAGAAGCCGTCCCTGCCACCCAGGTCGAGGGGAGCAGCCCAGGGGACGCTGCGACAGGAGCCTTCTGCGGCGGAAGACGGGCGACAAAAAGCCCGAGGGCATCCGTCAGGGCGGTGTCTGAGAAACTGGGCTGAGCCTCACGTTCTCAGCTTAAGCCAGGTTCCTCTTGAAACTGGTTTGGTTTCTCCAGGAGAACCAGAGAGATACCCAAGTACCAGACTGCCCTCCCAAAGCCCCCAAGGCTCCGCACAATTTGTGTAGGGAGAAGGTGGGCTTTAAAGTCTGCGTCTAGAGCCAGGAGATGCTTCCACACAGACATCAGAAGCTTCCTAGATCAGTTCCCTTCTCCCTAAAGCCTTTGAACATCTCGCACAACAGTTCTCACGGCTTTAATCATGAACTTGGCCGTGGTGCTACCACCATAGAGGGCTCGGAGCACACACATGCCTGCACTTCCATTCCATACGTTCTCCCTCCTCGCCTTCTAACAGAGCTGCGACTCATCACACAGCTTCAGCCTTATCTATCGGGCCCTTCAGTACCAAAGAGTTTGAGCTTCATCCAAATCCTTGTTCTTAACCAGCTCCAGGACCCACCGAGGCCGTTAGGCTCTCCCAGCACCACGACCGCCTCCTCCCCTTACCTTTTCCAAACTCGTATCCCATCTGAACGAGCAGTTTGGAGCCGATACCACGAGTGTGGGCTTCCCAGCCCCCAAAAGAGGAGCTGCACGCAGGCGTCCACGCCCCGTTCTCTGGAACTCCCGAGTCTATCACTGTGGCACAGAAGAGAAGAAGCAGTGAGACGCAGAAACAAAGCTGCTCTGCAAAAACCTTCGCCCGGGGCACCCACGCAGCAGGAAAACCCCTCACGAGGCAGCACAACAGACTTCTCCCACCCTAGAGCCATTCGGCCGCTCCTCCAGCCTTACTGGGCTCCCACTGAGCTGTCACCTTCTACGAGCACTGCAGAGCCGGTCACTTAAGCGAGAGATCTCACTCGATTTACTGCACATACCATCTCACAGTTCCAGGCAGGGTCATCCAGAAGTTTTTATGCTTCCTTTCCTTCCTCCTGCGGTGATACAGCCGGACATACAGACCATCAGGGTAAAATCTGACGCGATGGCACGCAGCACTTACTCTGTGCCTCCAGCTCATGTCTCTGGTATGAGGCTCCTCTAGGCCACCACGCTAATTTTGTGTTATTATGATCCAACAATCCCTATTAGGCTAAAGGTGAAGAGCTCTAGGACACGACTTTGTCCCTGTGGCACTGGCAGAGGGACAGTGCTGGCTGCATAACCTCAACAAAGTCACTCGGGCTCTGTCTGGGTCAGCTCTCAATAGCGGAACAGGGCACGGCTGCTCCTGCGACCTCACCGAGGCGCTGGAAGGATCAAACCCAAGGACTGGGGCCTCGTGCTCCTGCGTCGCGGAGCTCCCAGAGATGGGCAAGTCTCCCGATTCACTTACTAGCTCGGCTCAGCCAGCCACAGGAGGAACAGACTCAGAGCTTGGAACTCGGCTCTAATGAAATATCACACCCTCTGCCTTCACACGTTGGAAGTTCCTGCGGAAACCTCCAACCTTCATCAGCCCCGTAATTTGCAGAAAACACAGATTTCAGTTTGCAATTGTAACGCAAGAGCTAACGGCTGCTCTCTATCTTTCAGCAACGTACGAGGAGACCAGCTGCTCTTTCACCAGAGGGGAGACACTTCTGACGAAAGCCCCAGCAGAGCAATCCAGCAGGTCCCAGGGAAAGGCAGACCCGGATCACACGTCGCTTCTCCTCACGCCGTCCCCCCTCTCTCACCTTTCGCGTACCCAGAGTCATCCACGCTGTCTTCATCCGACTCGGCAGATTCGGCGCCATCTTCGCTCCGCAGCGGGGGGATGACGCTGTCTCCTTCCACCACGGCCTCCTTGAGCAGCAGGGAATCAAACTTCACCGTGTAGTAACCGCTGTCGATGTCTACAGAGGGACAAGCAAGGACAAGAGCTCCAGTAGGTCTCCAGCGTGCAACTGGCAGAGGGCTTCCTAAAACAGAGTCAGCTCCAGGGGAACGACAGGGGAGAGGTGCAAGGCCCAGGGAACACGCGCTTTTAAAAATCCTGGGTTTAATTTGTGCTTTGGGTCTCTGCCTGGGAGGCAGGAGCACCCACCGCAACGAAAAGCCATTTCCACAGCGCCTGCGCTGACACTTAAAGGTTTATTTCTAAAAATGAAGAAAGACGGGGCTGCTGAGAAATGGGATTAAAGGGAAGCGAGACTTGCTCCCCGTCACGGTCCAGGATCAGCAACTGCTGCTCAGGCAGGCCGCTGCAGACTCACGTCAAGGCGTTCGCCCCACTTTCAGAGTCCATATTCCTGATGACAGGGGTGAGACAATGCTGTTTTCGGACCGACTCTTACACTGCCCCCCTGCCCCAGTACCAGACAAAGATGGAAAGAGAGACTAAACCCTCCTCCTCCCGGGGACTCCTGTCCCAGCAGCTGATGGGCAGGACCAGCTCCCCTTGGCTTTTGCTGCTTCACCAAGAGCGGATGATTCCCATTCTAACCTGCAACCCCTGCCTCTGCCCTTTCGGCGCAGGTAATGCCACCGTTCCCTTCCCACATTCCTGCCCTTCAGGTCTCCCTTTTGTCCAACGCTCTCCTGTTTCCCAGCCTATTCCCTTGCCAAGCCTGACAAAACCCAGAACCTTTCCCCAGGCACAGCAAGGTTTTCAGTTTAGGGCTGCAGCTAAAAACAACTCGTGTTTTTCTGCCGTTAGCCACAACAGTCAAGTTTTCGATTCACTCAAGCATCACCCTTCATCTTCCACACAGAAGCCCGGCAAAGCCCAAACCCACCGGTGATTTTGGCGGTGTACCATATCCCGTCGCTGTGTTTCGCCAGGCAGGCCGAGCCCACTCCCAGCGCGCTCAGGTCGGGCTCCTGGAACGGCTGAAGCTCTTCCACAGAGACCACCTGCCCGTGGGAAAACCTGCCAGGGAAGGTGGGAGAGGAGTTAGCTCTGCCTCAGCCGAGCAGGCTTTGCACCAAACCTGCCCCTCTCCGTAAAGGAAACGCCAACAGGTCGTCAGCGGGGATGAACCTTCACCGGTAACGACGGGACTTTGATGGTGCGTTCTTGCAGTTACACAACTGACTCATTCTTCATCTTAAACCTATTATTTATGTCACGTATCAAAGCACACATCAAGCCCCAGAGAACGAAGCTCTCCTGGCTAGTGGCACATCCAGTATAAAAGTTTACGGGTCCTTTGAGATTAAACAGGATCACCCAGGCACCAGGCTGGTCTCAAATCCAACCTCCTGCTCAAAGCACAACTTCAAAGCCCGACCAGGCTGCTCAAGGCCTTACCCAGCCCTGAAGATCTCCAAAGACAGAGGCTCTACAACCTCTCTGTGCATCTGGGACGTACTGTCGCTATCGACAGACCAGCTTGGGTGGGTTATTTCAAAACAATCCGGTTACTAATTTAGCCACTCGATGGATTATGTAAAACCTCTGCACCCTTTCCATGGGATTTTCCATTTCAGCTCTGCATTAGCTGAAGAGGCAAACTGCTGCCACTGCCTACCAGAACTCACTTTAAGAACATAAACAAAAAGGCAAAGTTTCATTGGGTAAAAAAGCCAAACATGGTACTTTCAGAGGAGGCTCGTCCCTCTGAAGGACAAGGCCGCTGGCTACACGAAGGACCTAAGCCCCCTCCCACCCCTTTTTGTTTTTATTTTACCGACAGTTCTCTTTAAATCTGCATTTATCATCCAAGAAGAACGGGCACGGCTTCAGAGACTTGTGGGTTGGGTAGAGATACAGCACTCTGACTCCTGCACTGCCGTCTTCCAAGTCCTCTGTCCCCACAATCATGGCGTTATGGTACTCCAGGGTCCCCCAAGAACTGTAGTAGGGGGCTTTAACCTTCATCCCACTCAATTCCTCTTCCTCCTCCTCTCTGTCAGACTCCTCCTCCTCTTCACTGTACTTGGATTCATTTTTGTCACCAGTTTCTTCATCTCTCTTCGACGATGTCTCATCGTGACCAGCTGAAGGCTTCTCGTCGGTTCCAAGCTCAGCAATGGCTTCCTTAAAAGCAGCGTACTCCTCATCTTGGGCAGAACCGTCCGGGTTGGTGTCCCGCTCCACCGGGGAGGGGGACGAGGAGGAAGCATTTGTATCTAAAGTAGCCAGAAGTTTGCTCTTTCTGACAGACACCAGGCTGGATTCAGTCAGTTCTATCAGCTGCTTTAAATCCTCCTGCAACTGAATCAAGTCCGACTGCTGCGACGGGTCCAGGCCCGCCCCTAACGCCAGCTCCACTTGCTGCAGCTGGGCGTTATAGGTCTGAATGGCTGCTTCCAGACTCTCTTCATCCATCATCAGCAAAACAAAGGTGTTTAACTGTCTCCTTGCCGGAACCTCAGAACATATTCAAAGCGTTTACTTAAGACGAGCAACGTCCCGGCTAACAAGCCCTTGCCCGCAGAAGCCACCATCTACCCC